GTACAGCTCTGATGTCACACCTATTAAGTCAGACGTGGTAAAGAAAACTGTCCAGAAACCAGAGAGGCCCAGGCTGTGGTAGGGGCGAGGCACAGCCAGTGTTCCAGGGTGTCAGAATCCCCCAGGTCTGGTGAGGTGCATGGCCCATGAGAGAGCCCTGAGCAGCTGCCTTCACGGAAGTGCCCCTGCCAGCCCTCTGGCCATTAACCCTTACTAGGAAGAAGTTAAGACCTACAGAGATGGGAGACATGAGGAGGGGCCACAGGGGCCCCTGGACGGGAGGAAGGCGGGGCTGTCTGAGGCCCACACTGCTTTAGATGGGTGGTTTTCTTTGAAAAACCCAAGTCAAGCCACTCTAGCTGACAGATGGGGAAACTGAGGCCAGGGGCGGTGAACTGGTGCTCTACGTTGCACAAATTAATGGCTGGGCCAAAAGGCAGGCACCGCCTCCTGGCACTTTAAATTTTCAGAAATTCCAGTGCTCGTAATTCTTTTCCCCTCTCTAGGCTCCCAGGTCCGTGCCATCTAGGCAAACCAGACTTCTCCCTTCCATGCTCCCCTGGGCCGCCCTACCTGCCGAGCCCTCTGGGCCGTCTTTGTCCGCCCGGCCAGGCTCGCCGGCGCCCTGCTGGCGGTCGTTGTCGCAGCCGCCCTGGTCCAGGCGCGCCTCGGCGCTGGAGCAGCAGTAGCGCAACGCGCAGCTGCCGCAGCAGATGGTAGCGTCGCCGCCGTCGAAGCGCTCGGGGCACTGGAAGCCGATGCGCCAGACGCCCTGCCCGTCCAGCCAGCCGTGGCAGTACTCGCCACTGGCCCGCGCCCCAGCCGCCAGCAGCCCGGCCAGCAGCAGTTGCAGGAGGGAGGCGGCGAGCCGAGAGGAGGAGACCGGAGGGCGGCGTCCGCCCCACATGGCACCACCCTGGGCGCGGGTGGCGCGTCTCCAGAGGGCGCACAGCGGTTTTCGGGAAGTCGTGGTCCCTGGGACCCCAGTCCCAGTGGTGCTAAGGCCTGTGCCTCTTCGTTGAGAGTCCTTTTCGCGCGCTTTCCGCGCGGGTCTCTGCCCTCTGCGGCGACGTCCAGGAGCAGATGGCACCGGGCTGCTGGGGCAGAGGTTCCTAAGCCATCCCCTCCCTAGCCGGTGGCCCGGTCCCCCGTTGGGGCTGCCCTAAGAACGGGAGCTCTCTGATGGAATTCTCCGGCTGCAGAGTCAGGGGGCCCCCGGGGCTGCCATCCCGCAGTCCCTGGAGGCTTCAGCCGCGACGGGACCCTCCCGGGGCATCCCCGAGGGGCGCTCACTCAGGTCGGGTGGCCGCTGGGCGCGCCGCTGCCAGCCTGGAGCCAGGTCGCCGCCACGGAGTTCAAGCCTCTGGGTCCCGCGCACGAGTGAGGGGCGTCTCCCTTCCTTTACTCCCCTCTCGGAAGGCAAGAAGGGGCCACGAAGACTGGCAGTGCGCGCAGGGCACAGGGCAGCAAAGGCAGCGGCTTAGTTTCCCCAGCTCCGAGCTCGGTCCGCATGGCTCCGGCCGCGCCGTCCGGGCGCTCCCCTCCGAGGGCCGGCGGCCAGTCTTCCCGGGGCACTCTGGCGTCCAGGACACGGGCGAGGGTCCGGCGCGCCTCCGCCGCGGTCCCGGGAGCCTGCCGGGCTGCCGGCGGCTGCGGCGGCGGCTGCTGCTGGGCGCGAGTCCAGGCGGGCGGCTCGCCCCGGCTCCCCCTGCGCCTCCCCGGCTGCACCTCGCTCCCACGCGCGCGGGGCGGCCCTCGCCCGGCTCTCCCTCTGCTCCGGCCGCCACTCCCCTCGGGAGGTGCGCACCGCTGGGAGCCTCCCACGGAAGTTTCAGCCCTCCTGGCTACGGAAGAAGCCGAGCCCGGCAGCAGCCCGCACGCTCCCAAGCGCCGGCACCCTGCCAGCTCCGACTCCGCTGGTTACCGCGCTGCGCGGCGCTCTTAATAGAGGCCCGCGGCTCTGCGGGCGCGCATGCGTGCTACGTGGGCTCCCCTCCTCCCCGGAGCGCCCCCCCACCCCCCAGACGCTCGGAGCCCTTCACCTTCAGCGCCGGGGTGGGGGTGGGGAGATGGTGTAGCAGACGACTAGAACCCGCGCGGGAGAAAACAGAACTTCAAAATCTAGGCTTTGCTAACGCAATACCAACAATAATGATAATAAAAACCAACCAAGCTTGCTTATTGTAGATCTTTGGCATTCGGAATTCTATTTGATTCTCAAAACTTCCCCAAGAAGGATTATAATTACTTCCCATTTTACGGACAATACAGTTGCCGCTCTCATTAACCGTCTCTCTCAGCTTCAATCAGCTCATGCCCTGGCCCAGAGGTTACAGTTCACAGGCACGGCCAAGGAAGACCTCGGGTGTTTGTGGAAGAAGGTTCACGCGCCTGGGGCTGTCCGGTGGCCCCCCCCAGGCTTCAACAAGGTAAAAGGAGAGTTTAGCAAAGACATCACAGATTTGGCCATTGGTTGATTTGTGTCGCTGCTGCCTCTTCCTACAGTTGGGCGTGGCGATTTATTGGATTCAGAGCAGAAAGGTGCCTCCGTTCAGCATGTGACAGCTGCAGCTAGGAGGAAAACAAAGTTTGGACAGACCAGAAATTCGGCTTTGATGAAGGAGAAATTAATAGCTTCTCTCTTGCGGAAGCTGAAACAACAGGTGCTGATGCTATTAAAGCAGTGGTGATTATTTTTAAAGGGACTAATGACCCTTCCAACATGGTCTGCAAGTCAGCTGACCTGAAATCTAGGCCCAGCCCCACCAGTAAAGAATCAAAAGTCTTACTGTAGTGAAGCCCCGCCAGTAAGGAACTAGTCTCAGTTTCTTCAGCCTTAGAGTATAGCGTGTGATAAGCACTAACGTCCCTTCACAGTCTTCCACTGTAAAACAGTTGTATTCACAGTAAGGATGCTGCTGTTCAAACAACCGGTGTCACTGTGTATACCTGGTAGATGTGGGGACTCAGCCACGGTTTCTACCCTTCCATTCACCCCAACAAAACCAAATCAAAGGAAAAACCTACTTTGTTCCCCATCTCCCCCAGTGAACACCTTATTCTTTTCATTAAACCTTTCTCCAAGTATTGCACTTGATTTCATTGCTTTTTTTGGGGGGGGGTTATTTTTAACTACACAAAATAATGTATTTTAAATGCATCAGCCACCAACTTTTCTTAACCTACTAAGTTAACAAAATTTCAACATGGAATTATTTATTCAACAATTACATGCTAAGAGCTTACTGTATATATTCTGTGTTGGGTATCAGGGATTCACCAAGAAGCCAGGCATCATGGACATTTCCTTCAAACAGAGCTCAAAGTCTCTGGGGTAAAACAAATTGGTCAGAGAGGCAAAGAATTGAATAAGCATAGATAATACAAGTATGATAAAAGCTATAACTGGTGATGTACGGGGTCAATTTAAGCACATAACCTGGGGATGGGGAGAGGAGAGAGGTCAGAAAAATGATCAGAGGAAAGGTGCTTCAAAGAAGCAGAGGGAAGACTCAGTATTTCATTCTGAACCATTTTCTTAGAAGATACTATTAGCTGATGTTTATTGAGGGCTGACTCTTGCATGCGTCATCTCGTTTAATCCTCCCGGAAGCCCTATGAAGAAGACAATTACTATCCTCATTTTGCTGGTGAGGAAAACTTGCCCAATCCATACAGACAGAAAGCGCCCGTTCACACCCAGTTCTCATGACTCAAAGCCCACCCACCACACTGCTCATCACCCCAGTCTGCACTGCAGTAAGCACAGGCTTAACTGTGAACTCTACACCAATCACCAAATGGGTAGGTATCGTTATTTTTCAATGACACCATAAGTTGATTTGGGTGGTGTCAGAGGGTTAATACTTTGCCTTTTTTTCCTTGGGAAAAAATTAATGTAAAAGAATTGCACATTTCCTCAGTTAGTATCTATGCCGGTCCCTTCTATTACTATCCATTCAGCCTGTTCTCCAAAACACTGACAATTTGTCAGAGTTTATTTATGAAGAAAGCAATGTTGAACGTTTTCATATCGGAACTGATTTAGTGATCTGGAAGTGCCGCTGTTTACACATGTAAGTTTTTCCCAAATACCTCACAACTGAGTCCACAGCTGACAAACTTGGAAATGCAGGGCTTTGAGCAAATCCGTCCTCATTTTCATTACAGCGTTCCCTTATTCCTTAGAAGTTAAGGGTCGGACTATTTCATAGTTATTTTCAATGTTCAGGGATCCTTTATATCACTGTTCCTCCCTCTGACTTGTTTTTGCTTTTTCTTTGTGTATTTAGTATGTTGTATTGAAATTTTATAAAGTAAGCCATCAAATAGTTATGAACTTCTCTATGGGAGGTGCTGCTGGGAGATATTTAAGATGGCTGTGTTCCTTCTATTAGAAACACAAAGAAATTCCTTCACTGTCCTTAACAGACAGCCCAAACTGTTTTACTAGTCTCCTGTATAAAACTAGTAATCATAACATATAGGTAGTAGTAATAATAATTTATTATAATCAAAATGAAATGTCAGGCAGTCTGCCAGAATATATTTAAACACATATGAAAGCGTGTCCTCTTCCCTTTTAAAAAGTTTAATTCTACAGACATTAACTGCAGAAGCATATTTTCAAGTTATTTTACCTTTCAGTGTCTGCCTTTATATATGAATAAAATACAATTAATTTAAAAACAAACTTCTGACATCTCTTCAATAGCACAAGTAGAAAGTCATACAACTAAAGAAATGATTACTTGTAACTTTGCTAACTGGAGCTGATATAAATCATATGGAGGTAATCATATTTCATTAGGCTGGCAGTTCTAAAAGCTGCAAGATCTACAGTGGCTTTTTGCAAGTTTCAACAGGAGCAGAAAGTTCTTACCATCCATACACCAGTCAGCAGTTTGTTTAGGAGGAATGGATTTCACTGGGTTCATTCATTTTGTCCCCTTACTCTACTATAAATTGAGTAGTATTGAAAATTCACATTTAGTTTACCAAAAGTTCCTTCCAGGTAAAGTGTTTGTGTTAACAAATGAGACCTCAAACCCAAACAAACATGTTAATTTACATTTTTTTAAATTTTGTCTTGATTACCTAACCTCATCTGAAAATAAAAATAAAATTTTGGAAGAATATCTTTCTTGTGCTTTTAAATGTTTCATCTTTCATGCTCCTATTTCTTCCTGTAACTAACATACTGACTTTCAGAAAAGTGCCTTCCATGTTTTAAATCCCTTTTCTTCTCCTTGACCATTAGTTTTAAACATTTGATTTACTTCTCTCCCTCCCCCATTCTCATCCTTAACCCCAGAGTTTTACTAAACCATTCTTATGTTGATTTTGATGTTGTTTACTATTGTTATATTTTCTTTTTGAAGATATGGAGTCAAAAGCCATCCAGGATTTCTTCCAATAATGCTGGAGTATCTAAAAGGGGGACATAAACAAAATCAACATGACATCAAAAAGCCTGCAGCAAATATTTGCAAGTCATATACCTGATAATGAGTCTAGTATTCAGAGTATATAAAAAAGTCAACAACAAAAAGACAAACAACCCAATTTAAAAATAGACAAAGGACGCAAATAGCCATTTCTCCAAAGAAGATATGTGAAACTGACAAGCACATGAAAAGATGTTCAACATCATTAGGCATGAGGGAATTACAAATCAAAATTGCAATGAGATACCACTCCACATCTATGAGGATAGCAATAATAATAATAAACGAAAAAGAAGAGCGGGTAGAGAAGGTGTAATTAGAACCACCTCAGCAAGTTATTAGTGGAAATGTGAACTTGTGCAACCACTGTGCAGTACAGTTTGACAGTTCCTCAAATAGTTAGACATAAAATTACCATTTGACCCTATAATTCCATTCCTAGATATATATATATATACTCAAAAGAGTTGAAAACATATGTCTGCACAAAATTTTCTGCACAAATTGTTCACAGCCACAAATGGAAACAACTTAATATCCATCAACTGATGAGCAGATAAACAAAATGTGGTATGTTCATACAATTAGAATATTATGTAGAGAAGGTGTAATTAGAACCACCTCAGCAAGTTATTAGTGGAAATGTGAACTTGTGCAACCACTGTGCAGTACAGTTTGACAGTTCCTCAAATAGTTAGACATAAAATTACCATTTGACCCTATAATTCCATTCCTAGATATATATATATACTCAAAAGAGTTGAAAACATATGTCTGCACAAAATTTTCTGCACAAATTGTTCACAGCCACAAATGGAAACAACTTAATATCCATCAACTGATGAGCAGATAAACAAAATGTGGTATGTTCATACAATTAGAATATTATTTGGTCATAAAAAGGAATGAAGTGTTGACACATGCTATGACATGGATGAATCTTGAAAACATTGTGCTAAGTGAAAGAAGCCAGACACAAAAGACACATATTGTGCAATTCCATTTACCTGAAATGTCCAGAATAGGCAAATCCATAGAGACAGAAAGTAGATGAGGGGACTGGGACTGGGGCCAGAGAAGAAGGGAAAGTGACTGCTTAACTGGTACAGAGATTCCTTCTGGGTTGAAAATGCTCTGAAACTAGATAATGGTGAAAGCTGCATGACACTGTGAACGAGCTAAATGTCACTAATGGTAAAGTTTATGTTATATATATTTTGTCACAACAAAGAAGAATCTAGAACTAAAACAAAAAGGCTGTAGCTGTGAAACTAGTCATCTGCTCCTGATGTCACCTGAAGACTCACAAATTTCAGGGCCCTGTTCTTTTAAAAATGAATGATACTGAAAGAGAATCAGTTAAGAAGTTCTGAAGTTTAAGATCAAGGTGTCAGCCTATTGGCCTCTGATATCATTCCAAGTCCCTAAGCTAAATGGCTACATGCTGCGAATCCTTTGTGTTTGGGTGGGGGGACCTGTATTGTGTCCTCCCACCAAAATCTATAGTTGAAGCTCTAATTCCTAATGTGACCCAAAGAGATAGGGCCTTTAGGGAGATAAGTGAGGTTAAATATAGTCATATGAGTGGGACCCTAATCCAATAGGACTGCTGTTCTTGTAAAAAGAAGAAGACACACCATAGGTGGATGTGCACAGAGAAAAACCCACAGCAGGAAGGTTGCCACCTACGTGCCAAGGAGGGAGGGCCCAAGGGAAGGCAACGTGCTGACACCTTGATCTCAAACTTCAGGCCTCCCCGAACTGTGAGAAATAAATCTCTGTTGCTTCATCCTCCCAGTCTGTGCTATTTTGTTATGGCAGCTGGAGCAGACCCGTACGCAACTCCCCACAAACTCTAACCCAGTCGCATTGGGAATGCCGTAAGACAACCCAGGCAGTTTGGGTCATAGCTCTGTCGCCCACTGGTGGATGACATGAAATGACAGGAGTACATGCGAGAAATCGTTTGAGAAAACTACATACCCATCTAGAATAAGATGGGGTAAATGTGTACTGTTTCAAAGTGGTTGGAGAGTGGAGTATAACTAAGTGGCCACTGAGAGTTGAACGTCACACATTCTCGGGTTCATCATTCCCCCAGAACCTTTTATTCATGTCTCTATATGTAACTGAGTTTATGATTTCTTTGGTCTTCTCTTCTAGATGAGAACTCCTTGGAGGCAGAAATCAGATCTTGCTCATTAAAGAGTCCCCACAGTGCTGGATATGTAGTCAGCTCAGTTTACCCAGTCAGTAAACATTTATTGTGCACGTGCTACACACCAGGCACGAACACACTCAATTTTGATAAGGAGTGTTAATTTAAAGGAGTTTGAAATCAATAAAACTTAGCTAAATATTAAAGCCATTCTGAATACAGCAGCTTGGATATAAAATACCTGGTAAGATTAGGGTAAAAATGTTGGTGCTTGCGAAGGAATCCTGGGACAGTGACTGCAGAGGGTGGGAAGTCCTACTCAGAGCCTCCCAACCCCACAGATGTCTATTTCAGGCTTAAGGTGAGAGAGGTTTGCAATGAAAGTAGGCGTAAGAATGGAACAAGTTGTTTCCAGATTGTAGCCAACGTGAAATCAAAATGTAAGCCAGCCACAGAATTGGTGCCAGCAGGTTTCATCAGTGGCAGGAGAAGCTCCATGGTGCTGCCATCGGTGGTCCTGACAAGGCTCCAGGGCCTGGTTCGGTCAGCCAATGGCATTGCCAGCGCCTTCCACAGGCCCTGAGGCTTCTGTCCTCAGCATATGGGGCGGCATCGCTGAGAACTAGAGCTGGCACAAGCAGTTGTGCCAATCTTTCAGCCATCAGAGAGAGGAGTTTGGGAAGCACATGGGGACCCTCTGCGGGGATTCCCACAAGTGAGTGAAATGTCTGGGTGGGGCACCCTGCAGAGAAAGCAGAGTGGAGAAATGTCTGATATTGCTCTGCAGCATGAAATTATGCTGTTTTACATCCAGGCTAAGAAGCTAGATTCCTTGAATTTCATATTTTTTATTAAAATAATTCAGAAGACATTATGGATCATCACTTCCTTAGGATTTCTCATGATTAAGATCATTGTTTTTATATGACTGGGTCATAGGCAGGAAAAAGCCCATTTATCCTGGGTGTTTAGCTTTGATAGAAATAGGAATTTCCTCCATCAAAGCTGCCTCGCCAGTCTCCTGGTAAAAACATAAGAAGATAAAAGGATCATTGTGCTGCTTATTTTAGCAGAAACGGAATGATGGAATTCACCGCGCAGCCTCACAGGCCTGTGGTAATTACCCCTGTCCAAATACTTTAACTTTTCTAAACCAAGCCCTCCCTCATTTTATGGTTTCAACCTTCTTTTTGTACCTTTTGGATTAGTTAGAGATTTTCTTTGGCTTTTGCAAGAAGTCAATCTCTCAGGAAACAATTGAATTAAGCTTCATATTTGTTTAAAAGTCCTTGGATTGCGCCTCACATCTGCATTTCCTCAAAATGTCTCCACTGAAAGAATAAAGGGAGAATGTTCTGCATTGTGAAGTATTCAAATGAGCGGAAAGATGTTTAATGAGTTCCATGTCCTAAAAATGTTAGCGTCCCAGTAACACCTTAAGACTTGTTAAGTATTTCAGACTATTTTTCAGCTTTATTGCATTCAGGACACTTCTGGCTTGCTGTCATAAGGTCTTACATAATGTTAACAGTTACCTGGAGAGTCTCCAACTTCCTAGCTTTCATTACCTAATTAGAAGAAAGGTGTGCTTTCTTTAATGTTTTTATGTTAGAAAATATACTTGAATAGCTCTGAGACCAAAGCTCAGTCAGTTAATAACTACTATTTATTGAGCATCTGGTACACGCCAGGCATTGTGCTAAATTTCTTGATATAATCATAGTGTCTCTTCTAGTAAGTATATTATTAACTAAGCTACAAAAGGCTTAAATTCATCTACTTTTCTAAAATTTCCTAGTAAGTTAAAAAAAAAAAAAGCCTAGGCAGAATGTCATCCAACTAATTTTAATACAAGCATTGTTAGTGTTCCTTTCCAAGATATTATTTTCAATGAACTTGTTTCTAATGTTACACAAATGAGATGAGACGTCTTAGAAAAATACGCAAATCAATGGCATCCTTAATTTCTATTACCAATTTCCTTTTTGGTGCACAGTGGTTTGATTTTATAAGGTGCACATATTTTTAGTTCTTTTATTTCTGGAAGTGGGTCAGTTTGCTTTGGGGATACAAGGCCTGGAAGAAAATATTAGAAAAATAGAAAAGTATAGAGAAATTTAAGGTGGTACAAATTATGCCTAAAGAGAAAGGTTGCTTTCCACCTACCCTGGGCAATGTGGAGGATTACTTGAGAGGCACCCTTAGCCCTCCAGGACAGGGAAGGTGAACTAGGGGAAGTGGAGTTAAGTTACAGAAAGGGATATTTAAAGAACACTCTCTAAGGAGCACAGATGAAGAAGCATAAATACAGAGGGCTGAAGAGGTGATGAAGCCTCCCACCCCCTATGCTCCTAGGGAACTTGTTAAATAAACTCTAGCTCGGGAAGGAGGGGGGGTGTCTTAGGATAACTGAGCAGATAGACACAGCCTGGACTAGTCAAATTCTTGAGATTCCTTCCGAATATTCCTTAAATCTTACCGTGCAATGTAAAATGTTTAGGCTCATAATAAAGAAAATAGCAAACAAGGTTTGTATTTGTCCTTTTGACATTGATCAAACTCCTGACTTCTGCAAAGCAAATACAGTCATTTTAAAACAAGATAAGGTGGTTGCCTCTCTTAATGTATCTGATATCCTGTTCTGACAACATTATCATTCAAGTTAAGTTTTGGGATATTTATGCATTTTAGTACTCGAGAGTGGGTGGCAAGGGAGCGAGAGCGCGTGGCTGGCTGCTTCAGGGTTACCTTCAGACCTGGTCTGCTCTGGGGAAGGCGTACAATACCAACTCCTGCACACTCAAAAGCCATCTAGAGTAAGTTTCAGATGTAGGCAATTTACATTTATAGACTGGGTCAAGCAAATTGGACAGTTTAAGTGAGCACTGAATGAATGGGAACATAAATATGTTGGGGCCAATAAATGGTCATATTTATAGAGTGCAGTAAAACCTCTATCTCTCACTCTACTCAGGAAACTCTTGCCAACTGGATTGAATGCAGTGGTCATGATATTGAGTGCAGAAACCACAGGAAAGGTGAACCTAGCTCTTTAAATGGAACTTTCAACGTCTGCAGTACTATTTCAGATGCACTGAATATTCAATATCCTCTTGGTAGAGAATGGATAGGTGCTAAGAAACAAAACAATACAACCAAACAAACAAGTAAAAAACCCACTTCCTTTTGAACTCATTCATATATTTCCAGAATCTGGACTGAGCTGCCAAACTCAGCCTAATTTTTGCAAAAATATAATCCATTTGTTGCTGGATAGGAAGAGAAAGATTAAGCCAGACGCCAAGTAAAAAAAAAATTTAAAAAAATGGGTCACTGGCTCCACGGTACGGCTTGCGCTGCTGTTTTCTTCATTATGGTGTCTTGTTTTTGGTAGTCTTAGAGGTGAAGCTAAAGATCAGTGTTTGGCTTACAGTCTGAGTGTTGGAACAGATTTAGCCTCTCAAACACAGCCCCCCACTTACTGCGTTGGGGTGCGAGGAGCAGAGTGCTCTGACACAGGCCGATTTTATAGTGGCTGAGTCGTGAACAGAGAGCCAGATCACTAAGCAGAAGTTCTTTCTAAAAGACGAACAGAGAAGCCCGAGAACAGTTTCCTCACCTTTCCACGTGTGACAGAAAGTAAACACTGCCTCTTTATGGAATTATTTTGACAGTATTTGCCGTATCTCCAGCTCACAGGAGATTCCAAGTTTCCGAGGACAATGACATTTTGGAATTCTGATAATTGACATATGCAGTCTTCAAATTCCTTTAACTAATAATTATTGTGTTTCATTTCACAATTGGCTATAGATTTCCACAAACTCCTCTTTTCCTGAGAAGTAGGCTAAGGGCAGTCTAAGAGCTATAGTTTTTAACCAAATGATTCAATCATGTCATGCCCGATAGATTAAATAAAGTAGGAAATCTGGTTTTTTTGGGTTTTTTGTTTGTTTTACTTTGTATCTGCAAATAATTTCAGACTTGGAGAAAGAGTTGCAAGAATAAGAAAAGTATAAAGAACTTCTGAATACCGCTTTACCTTATTCACCAATTGTTAACATTTGGGCAATCTGTTTTATGTCCAAACAATGACTCATAAAAATGAATGAACCCTGCTCCTTCTGATTTGGGACTGTCTGTCACACAGACATGTAGACAAAAGCACCAACATTGCTTCTTAGAACAGAACCAAACCTGTTCTCTTAGCTGGTCATTGATTTATGCTTTTTCCCTGTTGTCAACAAATTAGCAAATCTAAATTTTATGCTTATTTTAACACATTATGTGGGTAGCCCATTCCTAACAGCTTGGCTAATTTTACACATATTATGATGCTGAACTTTGGACTTTAAGTGCTATATTGACTACAACTCCAGGCCTCTCAATGCAGAGAAAAATGTAAGAAAGTCATAAGCAGCCCAGGATTTCCTGTCTCTGGCTCTTGCACTCCATCTTCTGGCTGAAAGTTGCTGTGAGATGATTGAATTAATACGCCGATTGTTACAATCAATTACATAACATAGCACCTCTGGGGCTCTAGATTTAAACAAAAGAGAGAGGCATTGATATTTACCAGTGAAAGTGTACAAAGTCCACAGGAACAAAAGCAATACACAAAATTAAAATGAAGATGACAGAGGCTGGCATGACACCCCTAGGCACCTGGAATGTCAATCCAGGAAGCCAAGGTCAGGAGGTTTTATGGATGGGTGGGTGGTGGAGGTGGGGAGAAATGGAGAGGGTACAGGTTGGGGGCGAGGCATGGGGAGCAATCAGATGATCATCGTGATTTTGCTTTAAATCTCAGGGAACCTCGCTCCGAGTCACTTCTAAATCTCCTTGCTCCTTGAAGGCAAGACACCGAGTCCACTTCACCTTTGTACCATAAACTAGAGAGGTTCTTGTTGAATGAGTGAAGAAGGAGAAACTAACTTCTTTGCTTTTGTTTAACACATACAGGCATGCTGTTAAAGCTTTAATCTAAATCGCAAATATTAAAGTAATAAATTATTGTGGTACATGATGGCAAAATATGGAGGAACTTGTAGCTTTTCCATAGCCAAAATGATGCACATCTCTCTTTTAGTCATATTGTTCCTAAACTTCGACCTATTTGCAAAAACACATTATTCACTTGGAATCCTAATTTCTGGACTTGGAATGGGCTATACATTGTATATAATTTACATCCCAAATCAATAGTTATACATTTGGTTTTGAAACATCATCATTAAAAATTCACAGATTCCATCTGTAGATTCCATACCCTTTGGGAGACTGTTCTGGGTTTAATCTTATTTGCAATATACCCTTAAAACAGGTCAACTAATTATCATGGTACCATGGTACTGAATCATAGCAGAGTGAAACACGGACATTTTGGTAAACTGAGGCAACAAGGCCTGGAGACAGCCTTCTATACAACATTAAATTTAAATCTCCAAGAGACCAGAGCATTTTGCACAGACATTCCCTATCCTTACCTTTGTGTCTGCTTTGACTCAAGAAGCCTTGCTGGTAAATTTCACTAGGGGTCAAAATAAAATGCAATAGTATAATTTGACCAAGGCAAAAATAGTGAACAATAATATCTGTCACTAATTGAAGATCTGCTGTGTGCTATAGATTGTCTGCATGCATTGCCTCATCTCATCTTCTAAAACCCATTTGGGAATATAGTTGCATGCTGAGCTCAGCTTCGGCCTCCGTGTTTAGCTGAAATCTGCCATTGGCCCTTGGCTTCAGCTTGAGATGCCTGCTTTAACAGTATTTCTGGCCTCCCTAAACTTGTGTGTGATCAGTGGTCAGGCTTGCATAGGTTACCATTGTACCTAATCATTATAACCATATCAGAAGTACTAGCATGATGTGATGTTTGGATTTGCTGTTAATAATGAAATAACGCTATTTACTTTTAAATATAGGTAAGCATTTCTGTGTGGAACTTGGAGTGAAAATCTCTTATGTGCTTTGATTTTGGAATTCTATAAGTCAGTTGAAGTATAAATCTGTATTTATTACAGCAAGACAACGACGAGAGGGAAAACCACAAAGATTATTTAAAAGAAAGCATGTGAATTTCAGGACACATGCAAATTTTAATGATAATACACAGCAGAATAATAAGAATTAAATCAATTGCATCATAATTCTAGACTTTGTAGAATTGTTTTGGTGTACTAGCATTTTTGACATTAAATAAAGTGACATTTAAGAACTGAATTTTTTTGTTTCTTAAGTCTATGTAAGGCATGATCCTTTTAAAGAAAAACACTATTTGGAAATTCTTCAGTTTTTATATAGGCACTTTAAAATCAGCATATTAACC